CATGCACAATAATGTCCTTTAATAGATCATGATTCTTAACCAAAGAAAAGGCTGATTGAACTAATATATTAATTAATAATATATCACTATTTTAATGAACTTAAAATTAATAATTATTCATTGTTACAAAAAGAAAATGATTAGTTTACACATTGTCTATCTTGTACATTGAACTATAAGTAAACTGGAACGATAACTCCTATGATAAAGGCCTGTTTGGGTGAAGCCAAATTTCGGGCGCTCAAGTACAGCCTGGTCGCAGGTATATGTATACGAAAATAAATACACAAAAATTTTAACGATGTATTTTTACTAATTTAATCCTTAATTTTAACTTATTAAAGTACGTTTCTGGATGTTTGAACCCCATTAACAAGCGTATATAAGATTTTTCTACATAAATTGTATAATTTTGTCTCTGAAGTCTTTCTGGAAAGTCTAAAAACTCAGAAAAACCATAAATTTTCGTGCGGTTTTTTGCCGAGTTTCGTTTTGTTCGTGTCACATTTCGGCAGCTAAATAATATTTGCTTATTTTATGTGCCTTAGATAAAAGATGTGTTGTCTAACAGTCTAAGTGTGCTCTAGGATAAATATAAATGTCTTGAAAGAAGCAAAAGTGAGAAAATTTTAACGATTTTTAAACTGTATTTTTCGCACCATTTTGTAAAAAAGGACTGGGGCTACTGCAGAAAACACTCATAACCGGCTTCAAAGATGGCGGCGAACTTATCGTTCCAGTTTACTTATAGTTCAATGATCTTGTATACTTACTGGTAAAAGTTTTTGAAGGGAGTTTTGGTTTGATTACGAAACTTCTACTACAATACACAACTTGCATGTATCATCGTTACTAAAATCTGACGATTGTAATTTTAAATTTCGACAACGTTCTGCGCATGATAACTGTTTCTGATTAAACGTTTTTTCCTGCAGGCTCATGGTGGTTCCATTTTTCAAAAATGCAAATTTAAGAGGAACCAAACTTTCCTTATTTAAATTATGAACACTCATTGACAAGTCTGAATAATGAAAACTATAACTGGAACAACAAATTGAAAGATGTACACTCATCTTGTAACCACATGCCCAAAACTCATCCGAAATTAACTCAACTGCTCCTCCTGACGATGTCTCGGCGTAATCCTCTTTCTTAACAACAAACGTGTGCTGAATAATATTTCCTTTGTGTTCCTTTCTTAATACAGGCGGTTCTTCCAACAAAGATTTTTGTTCTACGGGAATTGCATGATGTGTCATACCGCCGAGGTAAAGCTCACTAAACTTTGGCATCTTCAAGGCAATTGGATGGTTCTTGATAACATTATAAAGATAGTCAATTGTAACTAACTTGAACCGTACAGCAGCTAGCAGATCATTCGTCTCTTCCAAACCAGCAGGATCAACATCGTTTTGCTCCATCCAATGCATCAAAGCATGAAATACGGTGTTCTCTGATTGGACAATCAAGTCATCACTGCGTAGTAGATACTTCACAGACGGTTCTGGCAGACTGGTAAATTTCTCAGATTGCCAGTTTTCATCTAAAGGGCTAAACTCCTGGGCAAGAACCAACTGTAAAGTTACTGCCAAATCTTCACTATCGTTCATGTTATGTTTCACTTTTATCACATGCATTATTTTTCTGCTGATTTCAAACGTAGTGGCATTCTGTTGAAGAACATATTTGCATTTCTTGAAAGCAAACTTCACATCGTATTTGTCAGCCAACTCTAACACGTCCAGCAGTTCGTCCACTGATTTGTCATTCAGCACATCGCTGCAGTACATGGCCTCGAGGAGGACGAGATGCGCTTTTTCTTCTGATTCTGGGATTTTGAGGTGAACTTCTGTATCATGTGTTTCCTTCATGCCACTTGAGTGTAAAAGTGACCGAAAATATGGACTTTGAACAGCAAGCCATAGGCCGTGCACATAAATCTTGTGCTGTCGTAGTGATTCATTCAAATTTTCCTGTATTCCGTTACAATCAAGAATTGCGGCTTTTTCAGGCACGCCTTCTGTAGAAGGATGTAGTGGTGAGGTTGAAGGCTTGTCAAGCTTCTTATTTTCTGCTTGTTCGCAGGCTGGTTCGTGACTTTTATTTTCCATTGCGCTTCCAATCTCAATCTCGCAATCAGCATTTATCTGTTCGCAGGTTGGTTCTGTTTCGCTTCCGGAATCTGCCACTAACAATTCAACCCGAGTTTCGTTGTTTGGCTCGATTTTCTTTCTTCGTTTCTGTTCCGGCCCTTCATCAGCTATCTCCAGACTTCTTTTGCTGCCAGAGGTCTCAATTAAGTCACCAGAGGTCTCAATTGAGTCGCCAGAGTGTGATACACCAGGCTCAGCAGTATTAGCAGAACTTTGTACAAGACTTGCAGTTTCCCACTCGTCTCGCATAACATCGAACACCAAAACTCGATCACTAAACTCAGGCATGTTGTATTCAGGCACACACATTTTTGAGAAGTCGATTAAATCGCAATATTTCAATTCCATATCAGACATTTTGCCGCAATTTTCGTGCCAAAATGCTGATATTGAAAGTGCCACGTATACTTATTTGATTAACATCCAATCCAAGGTCAGTGACCTTTTGACTTAATTGTTATGAATGACCAATCACAAACCTGTTCATATAGCTTGAGGCGATGTTTGTCATCAGTTTTGTTACAAAACACGCTACGGACAACGGACAAAACTTTAAAATAGCACCAACAAATCGCTGGGACTATGGAAATATGCAAAATGGAAATATAATTCTTGAAGTTTGCAGTTTGCCTGGCAGTTTGCGCTAATACTAAAATGAGTTTGTTATTTGCGCGTCAATTAAATAAACATCGTATTAAATTGCCTGATACTGATCCTGTCTGTTTATTTTGTCTTACCGTTTGCGCTTGACAGCCGCTTGTGTTATATTCTAAAATGCATTTGCCATCACGCTACAGCCTGCGACGTACCGGCGACGATGCCGGTGGTAGCTTAAAACGTGAATTATGTGAATATTTGTTCACCGATTGCCTCCAGTGCCACAGTTACATCGGCGGTAGGCCGGGAAAGTTGACTTGAGTTAACTTTGCCGGTGTCACAGGAGATCCGCTCTTAAAGGGCGATATTCCTAGGATATTCGCCCCCCGGGGCGAATCTCCTAGGAATATCGCCCCCCTTTAGGAATTTCGCCCCCCCATATAAATTTTGAATTTTTGATCTAAAAACAAAACGATTGCAAGTTGAAAAGATTTATTGTGTGATTTATTTATTACAAGGAGACAAAATCACATACACATTTTAAGCTTCTTAGCAGCTGGTGGTGTGCACAGTCTGCATAACCACTCATTTGAGGTACTTAGACTAGTGTCATATTCTACACATCTAAAGTGGAACCATTGCCCACAGAGATCGCATAAAATCATGTTGTCCATATTCTTCTGGCAGTTACATTCACATAACATATTATAAAAACAATCGCTTGCAAATTTTATCAATACCAGTGTTAACAATAGACGCCACATTAATCACTTGCTAACAATAAACTATAGGATTAATAAAAAATCTATGGAATTTGTTGGGAAGCGTATTGACTATGTCACGAAGCACTACTGGACTAAGATAATACCAAAACTCTTTAATTACAATACTCAACAACGATTAATCTCCACGAAATACATCTCACAATTTCACATTAACTCTACAATATCTCACTCCCCATGCGGTTCTCTCTCCTCAAAAACACATGCACTAAAAGGCGCTAAAACACATACACTAAAAGGCGCTTCTCTACACTCCCCCCGCCTAAAATCAACTTGATTACTGACTATATCAGTTCACTGGTTAACTCAACACGAAAGTAGGTATAAAATAGTTCAAATCGACAAAGTTCATGCAACACTTCCATTACTATAATAGTGTTTAACTTATCTGTTCACAGTGTTTAATAATCCAACACAGGTACTCCATAACGATCGGGTTGTCTTCGATTCTGTCTTAAGTTATAACGTAAATTTAATGGTTCTGCTTGATCATCGATTCCACGTGGTGCTAAACGTACTCCAGCACGCTCATTAATAAGTTCAATCGTAGACTCATCCGAATCAGAACTTAGCATGTCTTCCGATTTCTCACTCAATGGATTAGCAACTGTTTCTACGACAAACCGTCTTAGATTATTCGCATGTACAACTTTACGTTTTCTGCTTTCCAATGACTCTATCTCGCAATCGTTCTCTCGAATGTTAACAATGATGTAAGGACCCGTATACTTTTCATCTAAACCTCGCGCTCGAAAATTCTTTAATAGAACAGTGTCCCCCATGTAAAACCGCTTGTTTTGTTGTGCTCGATATCGTAAATCATAACTACGTTTCTGCTTCTCTTGCGCTTTCTCGATCCTTTTAGTAACCAATTTCCGGAGAATATCTTGTCTCTTCTTTAACTCTTCGACGTATTTGGCTGGACCATGTGTTGGGCTAGATACCAGTTTTTCTTGATCCGTTCCAAATGGCAATCTCACTTCTCTACCATATAACATTTCGAATGGTGTCACACCCGTAGAGGATTGCGTACTAACCCGACAAGCCAGTAACGCATGTGGCAGCTGCTCGTCCCAATCATTTTTCTCTTTGTTTACTCTCATTCTCAACAAGGATTTCAAAATACCATCAAACTGCTCGCACAACCCGTCTGTTTGGAGATGGTAGGCTGTAGTCCGTCTCTTTTCAATTCCAAACATTTCACATAGACTTGCAATCACTTTGGACTCAAATTACTGCCTTGATCTGTTAGTAGGACTGAGGGCATTCCATGTCTAGCAAAGATGTCTTCCAGGGCTCTCGCAACTGTAACTGCTTCTTGATTTGGCAATGCTACTGCCTCTGCGTACTTTGTGTAGTAATCAACGGCTGACAAAATGTATTTGTTTCTAACGGACTAGTTGTTTTTACTAATAATGTCTACACCAATCATATAAAATGGTATGGGTACCACCCCGATTGGCTTCATCGGACTCGGCGGCCTAGGTATTGCTTTATTTTTGGGACAAACTTCACAATTTCCACAAAATTCTTCAGCAGCTTTAATGAATCCAGGCCAATAAAACTTCCGTTGAATCATCTCAAACGTTTTTACAACACCTAAATGTCCAACTTGACAGTGGGCTTCTTCCAGTATGTTAGGAGTTAGATAGGTAGGTACCACAATTTGCTCTCGTTCCTTTGCTGTCTTATCAGTCCACTTTCGACATAAGACATGATTTTTGACAACCAATGAATCAAAATTCTTGTATAATGTATCTAGAGTTACACTCACATCAATCGATTTTTGATCTGGTCTAGAACCACTTTGCAACCAACTGAATATCCTCGTCGAACGTTTGGATGTCTTCAAACTCTTGCCAGGTTGACATCGAAACAAAGATAGTGTTCACAGGTGCACGAGACAAGGCATCCGCATGCTGCATTTTCGTGTTAGGTAGGTGTTCTATCGTATAGTCATATTCTTCCAGTTTTAAGATCCGACGAGCTAACTTACCATTTGGATGCTTGATGTCTCGAAGCCATTTCAAAGCCTTATGATCAGTATATATGGTGACCTTTCTCCCATATACATATGGGTGAAAGTATTGTAAAGCCCAGACCGCTGCAAATGCTTCCTTTTCTGTTGTTGCCCAGTTCTTTTCAGCACCCGAAAATGCCTTAGATGCAAAAGAAACCACTTTTTCCTCCTCCTTTTCATCCTTTTGGGTCAGCACTGCGCCTATGCCCACATCACTCGTATCCGTATACAATATATAGTCTCCATTTAAGTCAGGAAATGCCAAAACAGGGGCAGATATAAGTTGTTCTATCAGTTGTTCGAACGCTCGTTGACAGTTCTTGTCCCAATCAAAGCGGACACCTTTTTGCGTCAGACGATGAAGAGAACCTGCAATGTCACTGAAACCAGAAATAAAACGTCTGTAGTAAGAGGCCTTACCCAGGAAACGTCGCAACTCAGTGAGATTCTGTGGGGTAGAAAAAACACGGATTGCTTCAACTTTGGTCACATTTTGGACCAGACCAGCAGCAGAAACGGTAAACCCCAAGAAATCCACACTTGGCTTCGCAAAACTACACTTGGACAACTTAAGTCTCAATCCAGCTCTGTCTATAGCCTGCAAGACATCGTCCAAATTCTCCAAATGTTGGTCAAACGTGCGACCCACGACCAAAACATCATCTAAGTAAACCAGACACTTGAGTGGCAAAAGACCATTCAAAACAGCAAGCATAAGTCGCTGGAACGTGGGCACAGCATTCGTTAGGCCAAAGGGCATACGCAGGAATTCAAAGTGACCACCTCCTGGAATCACGAAAGCTGTTTTCTCCTGACTAGATTCGTCAACTGGAACCTGTCAATATCCCGAGTCTAGGTCGAGTGTCGAAAAATACTGATGACCAGCTAAGTTATCCATCAAATCAGCAACCTGGGGAAGTGGGAAAGCATCTTTCACTGTGACATCATTTAGTTTCCTGAAATCAATACAAAAACGCCATGTCCCATCTTTCTTTCGAACTAAGACTATAGGACTTGACCATGGTGAATTACTCGGCTTAATTATGTTGTTTTCCAACATTTCTTCTACTTGGTCTTCAACAACGGTTCTCAGAGAATTGGGCAGTCTACGAGGCAGCTGTTTAAAGGTACGGCATCGCCTGTCTCAATCTTACGCTCTGCTAGTGTGGTTACGCCAAGTTCACTAGAATTTTCCGCGAAAACATCTTGGTGTTTATTCAACAAATTTTCCATTCTTTCTCGCTCCTCACCCGACAGATGCTCTAACTCAAATTTGATCTTATCCTCAGCAGATGATGTACCACACTTTGAATTAATAAATGTTGGGTCTCTTAACTCATCATCAACTTGCTGAAGTTGCCCTACAGTCATGCCCTTGTACAACTTAATAGGTGATGTCCCTGGATTAATAATCTGGATGGGTACCCTCTGTACAATAACTCATGCTACGTACAAGAACACCTTTCCCGGATAAGTTCATATTAGGCTCTAAGATGCTTTCATTTAAAGTGGGATTTCGGACCCTAGCAGTTTTGAAAACGTCATGTTTCGCCGGAACAACCAAATCCTTATCTAGAACAACGCCCAGGGATCTGCTATGGTTGAATCAAATAAACACAAGGGTTTTGTGGTACCATCTGGGAATTTCAAATCCATTTCAGACATATCGACATTTATTTTGTTAGTTACTAACCAATCTAAACCCAGAATAATTTCAGACACCATTTCATTAGCCACATAAAAGTCATGAGATGACTTGTTGCTTTCATCAAATTGCACATTCAAAGTGGTTTTGCCCAAAATCCCAATGGGAGAATTGTTAGCGGCTTCTGCAACAATATCGGATGGAAATAATGGGGTATCATCCAGTTTAAGAGGTTGCCACTGGTCTTTACTAACTTATGAAATGGATGAGTCAGTGTCAACTATACAAAGTTTGTTTTTCCCATTAATAGTAGTCTCGACCATAAGGGGTTTCTTCTTGCTCGCTGAAGAAATGGTAGACAGTCTGATTTTTTAATCATTTTTCTTGGGGCTTTCACCATCTCTACTAGAACCCAGACCTCCCTCCAACTTCGCATTACAGAACTTTGCAGTATGGCCACTATTCCCACAACGATAGCAAATGGTCACGTGTATGTCCTGGCTTTTGACATGAATAACATAACTTAGTTTGTGGCCGTGCAGTATTATTTTGCCTGAAGTTGTTCATAGTAGGGCACTGTCTGGACACATGACCAAATCCATTACACGGATAACATGTTTTGGCAGCATTCAAAGAACTAACTGAGCCAATTGTTGTTCTACTTAATTTTTCTGTTGCTTCTCTGGCTAATGTTTTCATTGTGGCATTTGCTGCCTCAAATCTTCGAGCAATTAACAAGGCATCATCTAAACTGTTTGGTGGCCCTTGTAACAACTTGTTTTGGGTGGCCTTATCTCTCAACCCCAAAATAAATTGATCAACCAACCTGCTAGAATATTCGTCACCATGGAAACCACATCTAGCTCCAGCTTCTCGCAAAGAAACAGCATACGAATCAACATACTCACCAAGCTCCTGTTCTCGACGATTGGAAATTGTAACGTTTCTCCGTACAGTCTGATTACTTTCAAATAACGACTTCAACTTTCCAATCCAATCTTTGTACGCGTTTTCCCCTTCGCCAAACTCAACCGGTTCTGCCAAACGAAACGCATCTTCGCTCAAATTAAACAACAACGCAAGTCGTCGCTTTTTAACATCTTCAAGTTCCACTGCTTCGAAGTACAGTTCACATTTCTTGATGAACAAATCAAAGTCTTCGCCAATTTTAAACTTGTCGGGCCTTCGAAACAATGACAAAGATAACTTATTCGTCTCAACATTCGGTGCTTCTGCTTGCTTAGGCTCGACCGCCATGTTTGCACGATACAAAACACACTCGAAAATAAGTCAAAATGTCACATCATTTCCGCAAGTTTTGTCTCGGTGGGACCTCCAAAATTGTCACGAAGCACTACTGGACTAAGATAATACCAAAACTCTTTAATTATTTCTTTAATTACAATACTCAACAACGATTAATCTCCACAAAATACATCTCACAATCTACAATATTTCACTTCCATGCGGTTCTCTCTCCTCCAAAAACACATGCACTAAAAGGCACTAAAACACATACACTAAAAGGCGCTTCTCTACACCGGCAATACAGTATTTATTGCCAAACGAAACTGCGACGAAAGCCGAGTTTCAAACATTCAAAAATTGTCCAAAAGTCGTTCAAAATATTCTGAACGAGTAAAACTAAAACTAAAGGGTATCTTAGTTAAAGTAAAATAACTTTCTGAATACATTTTTGTTGGCGTAAATCGAAAATACAAGGTTTAAAACAGCAAGACCTTGGTTTGGTAATTTCTCGTACGCTGCCCTAATTCACGTTATTATTCCTAAAAGTAAACACCTTACGAAAATTATAAAAAATACGTATCTCTGTCCCAGAGAATAATAATCTCCGACGATTTCTCGGTCAACTTTTATTATATACTACCATCTCAAAAAAATATTTGAATTCTGTTTATTTACTCTTATAGGAGCACCATCTCCGTGCGTTTCAGTATCTTCCAGATATTATAAAACTACAGCGTCTACTTTTCGAGAAATTTCATCGCCGTTTGGATCGAAATGAAGCGGAGGGATATACTCTGGGAGAATTCTTGAAAAGAGGTAAAGCACATTTTGTTAATTTTCATATTAAATTATCCTAATTTACCTACGTCAAATTCTCACATTGAAGATAATATAAGACTTTTAGAATTCAACGATGTCCAACAGTATGATGAAAGCCACGTTGCCTGGCCAGTTTGTATAATGCCCAATGCCTATCCACATTACTCGTTCTATAAGGATAAAATTGCAATTGAATCATAATATGTAGGCCTACGTACCTGTAGCCGGACGATTTAAGGTATTTGTATCCATAGCCTATCGAACTCATTAGAATAACAATATAACTCGGGGGCTTCGGTGGCCAAGTGGTTAGCGCACTTGCCTTTCACCTCTGAGGCTGCAGGTTCGAGTCTCACTAAGTACCTTCTCAGTGCGACTCGAACCCAGTCCCCATGTGAAAAGAGTAAAAGTCAACGCTCTGCCGAAAGCCGTGGGTTTTCCCCGGGTAGTCCGGTTTCCTCCCACAGGGAAAGTTGACAGGGTGGGTTAGGTAAAAAGGGCCCACAGTAATTGGCATATGCTGTTGTGGTGACCCTGCCCTAGTTGGCAAAGCTAAATAAATAAATAAATAAATAAATAAACTCATTATCTATGTTAGTCAACGTTTATTCATAAATCTGGTTCTTTCACCGTCACGTTTGTATTGTATTTTTACCAAATCCACCAATAGCAATTTCCAGTTTCCCTATACTGTTCGAGTCACGGATAGTTGACTTTCCTAAAACATTCCTATTGGTTAGTTGGGCAAGAATACAATATACACATGACTGTGAAGGACCAGGTTTATGAATAAACGTTGACCAACATAGATAATGAGTTATATTGTTATTCTAATGAGTTTCACAGCCATCTTCGCTTCGATAGGCTATGGTATGTATCGAAATATCAGCTGTGATTTATTGACTCGTTTACATATAACCACAATTGAACTACCCTGAATAATTTCATAATTAACTATTAAGAGAATTTTTATGTAATTTGATGTCAACCATGTGGACAGTAATTATTGTTGGAGTCAATTAATTTTTTGCATATTTTGAAATGACGTATTGTGGCTACACATGATTGAACAGTCGAATAGTTTGGAATGCGTATTTTAAATATTCCAGTCCAAGCTATGTTATGGTTGAACTGCAATTTAACCCAAACACAGAACGCGTCGTTTGGATACGCTGTCGATACAGCAAGCTGCTTAATGATTGCCTAACAGGGACTATCCTAAGCCGGAATTGCCACTTTTTGTAAAAGAAAAAAATTTCTAGAGTTGTAAATGGACTGTCTCTGGACTTGCAATAGTTCTAATTTTAATTTCCAGTTATTTCCAAGTTTAAAAGAGATCAAAGCTGCATGCTATTATTTATACCAAGTGAATCATTACGAATTAGCACATATTAATAATGGTAATTGCACTGAGTGGAGTGCAAGATGGTCTGAAATCAGACGCGTGATTCCAAAATCGCACGACCGCGAAGCGAGAGTGCGATTTGTAGTCACAAGTTTGATTTCTGACCAAAATTGCACAACACGAAGTGCAATTACCACATTATTATATTCATTTTGAAATTGTGTAAAACGGAAACAGTTCTTTGTTTACGAAAGACACCCCCCCCCTCTGATATTCCCTAAATGCGGTAGCGTAGCAACAAGCGAACAAGTTGAACTTTCTTTAAATCTCGAAAAGTTTTACCAAAAAAATGAAGAAATTTGTGAATACTGTGAAGACTAAAAGACAACCAATGTAAGTTTGAACATACTATAGGTTTTATAAGCAATTTGATATAGGGTTTTGATGCGGTTTTGTTCATTCAAACATCGACAAATTTAATATACGATGTATACGAATAACCTTGACGACGACGACGTAACCTTGGGTAAGTTACTTAATTAAAATGTATACGAATACTTTGTTTGGTTGTTTTGCATGTCGCTTTATTAAGTTCTTTTTGTTCGTGTTTTCGCCATATTTCACAACGATTTTGTTCCTAATAT